AAAGTAAAGGGATACGTGGGATAGATACTCGCCACAATCAAGTGTGATTGCTTGATTGATAAGAGTCTTGTCAAACTCTTCTAGAATCTTCAACAAAAAAACTCAAACAAGATCTTGCCCTAGGCCCCTAGCTATGGAGTCCACGAAAAGATAAAACAATAGCCACAGGTACTCATGCTCCATGGGGGAAAACACTTCTCGGTGTAAAATTCTTATTAAACAAAACCTAATATTTAAAATTTGTGTTTACAACCCTTTATATAGCAAAGGTCAAATAAAATTATAAAAAACACAACGGAACAAAAACCTAAATCTAAAAGGAAGGCCAAACTCGGCCAGACCCGAAACCCGGTCCAAATACCCAGTCGGGTATTTTGCTGTCCTGGCTGGGGAGAATCCATGTACGTGATCCCCAGTCTCTGCCTCAATTACCTGGGCGGGGAATTGCAAGTGTCGACCGGGTATTCTTCTCTTGCGGCTCACATAAGGAAGTTCACGGAGTAAGCAGTAGATCTATAGTCCGAGTCTATATTAAAACTAAACCATTGTTCTATATTTCCATCCTACGATTTCACTTGGTCGTAGTTTGATTCCGTGTTATAGCATTTCAAGAGTAATGGAGTCTCGCAGGACGCCATTCTGCTACGTGTCTTCCCTTTTACTCTGGAGGGACATGCCAAGATGTGGCTAGACAACCGAGCTCCGGGGTCAATAACGACTTTCACTGACCTGACCAACAAATTCTTGAACCGGTATCATCCACCATCCAAGACAACTGGCCTGCACAAAGAGATTACACATTTTTCCCAGGAGGAGGTTGAAACCATTTGGGATGCTTGGGAGAGGTACACCAACCTCTTCATGAAGTGTCCCAACCATGGTTTCAATGACGCCTTCAAGGTGGGAACTTTCTACCATGCTCTCTTTCCTAAAGACAATCAGCTGATTGACTCGATTTGTGGCGGGAAGATGCTGACCAAGACACCACCCTAGTTGAACCAGCTCTTTGATCAAATGGCGGAGCAGGGCTATGATTGAGGGTCCGCGAGGAGGTCGAGAAGAGCACCAGGCCGGGGTGTGCATGCCGTAGACACCCAGTCGTCTGAGTTGGTGCAGGTTATCTCTAAGTTGTTCATGCAGCTAGATAAAACTAGGATGATCTCTGGATCAGGGCAACCGCAGGCAATGCAATGCCTGTTGTGTGAGAGTAGCCACCACACGGTGGAAGACTACTAGGCGATGAGGGAATCTACTACTCCCCAATAGCAGCTGGACTTCATCAGCATTGCTAGGCGCTTTGACCCCTACAGTAATACCTATAATAAGGGGTGGCGCTAGCATCCTAACTTCTCTTGGGGTGGTAATAGTATCCTAAGCCACCAGTCTCTCAGGGACCTTCAGGCTTCCAGAGACCATCATACCAGGGCCGCCAGGGTGATACAATCCCGGAATCGATCAAATTACATCCAAGATTAATTGTCAAAGAGGCCAAGTCGAATTGCAAAGAAGAAGCGGAAAATTGTTCAAGTATTTTTCATGTTTCAGGAAGCTGACTTTGGAGGCTCGATTCTCTTAATTGGCTCGATGCAAATTCGTGTTTGATAGCTTGTTTTGAATAAAATAATTTTATCTACATGATTCTATTCTTGGTAGCCTGAGAGGAAGTCCAGAAGGTCGTTTTCCATACGTCCAAATTTGCTATATGGAAAGCTGAAAACTGCCTGAAAATGGCGAAGGCGGAAAACTGGTTTGTGAAGCGAGGAGCATGGTTCTTATTCGAGTCCAAAGGCTTCCACAACATGAAACTAGTAATGTTTTTATAAAAGGTAAGGAATTGGATGAAAGATTGGATTTTTGGAAGGACTCGAACGAAAGACGCGAATTTAGTACGAAAGCTGTTTTGTACTGTTTCCGGGCATCTTTCTTTAGCATAAAGACGAGTTTGAGTCCGAATTTTGTAACGTTTTTAGAGTCGATTTTGATCTTATTTGTTCCCTTGTTCATTTAGGTTTGTATTAGGTTTTCTTGGCTATAAATAGCATTCTATTTTCGCTGTAAAAACTTAGACTTTGATTAATCAAAAAGAAACTGTTTGGTTTGTTCAAGTTTGCGAACTTGTTGGGTTTGGTGGATTCCAATCTTGTTGAGCTTGTGTATTGATTTAATATTCACTTCAATCGTGGTCGAGCACCTACCCTTTTATACCATACGAGCTTTCCCCAGCTGTGGAATTGTCTGTTGGTTCGTTTTATCCAAATTTCGTATTTAGAACACGTTGTTCTTGATTCGAGTTCAATCAATCTTTGGATTGATTGTGTTTGCTGCATAACTTTGATAACATACACCCCCAGGGTCGTATCAAGTGGTATCTGACACGCTAAAACACAACACCTAACAATGGCCAAGTGTAACCAATGAAAGGGACTGCAGTATAGTGGCACAAGTAATAAATATCGAATCCACGGGTCTCTAGAGTTACTTTTACTCAGCTTCAGTTCATTATCTAGCAAACTAGATTAAGGATTGATTTATAAACTACTCTACTGACTACTCTACTAATTACAAGTTGTGAACTCACTTGGGTATGATTCCCCCTAGCTCCTCAATTAGGTCCAAGTTGCAATTACCTTTGGTTGATCTACTGTTGATTAAACTGCGGAAGATTCGACAGTAGCTTAGAATCTCTTAAGCTGACCAAGCCCTCTCAGTCCAACTACCCGGCAGGCGACTAACCTTCACCGAGATAGAAAGATGAGGCTATGAACACAAAACTCCACTACCGGAATTGGATTCCAGTACAAAGCAGTAGATTGACTAACTCTCGTATAACCAATTCACCACCATCAATCAAGGAAGCTCTCTTAACCTAATCAGATTCTATCTATCATAGGTTAAAGCAGAAATCAAGAGAATTTGATCAAGATTCAATTGACTCAATAAATCATGCCTCAATCGATTATAATCAAACAATATAGCATCCAAAACTTCATACAAGAAAGATCCTAACACATGGAACTAGGGTTCCTCGAAACCTAAGTGAAGGGAAGTTACTCCATAGAGAAGAGAGAGACTGTAGAAATCTGATCTAGATCTTCAATCTCCATCTCCAAGCTTGATTCCCGAGCTCCAATGGCGAAGAAATCCTCCAAAATAGCTCCAAGAATGTTCCCAAGTCGCTCTCTCTCTCTAGGGTTCGTCCCTTGGGTGTTTGGGAACCAAAAACCCAGCTCTCCCCTTTCCTTTGGCTGAAAATCGAGTTTTAAACAGAAATTCCCGATCACGCGGCCAGGCCACACGGCCGTGTGGCTTTCCCAGCTGCCCGTGTGAAGGCTAGGTGATTTCCGCACGGCCACGACGCACACGGCCGTGTGGAATTCCAGGATGCCCGTGTGGCTTGCTCAGCCTCTGTTTAATGCTTCGTTTCTCCCTCGTCCGGACTCCGAATCAGTCCCCGTTTGATCCCAGACGCTCGTAGTCTCGTCCTCTTTCTTTTCATGACAAGCTTGTATGATTCTTTGTCTATAAAGTGAGGTAGAAATCCATTCTTCTTCAGGTCATGCCCGAGTTTCTTCTCCCGAATCGTCAATTGATATCTGATTGATTTTAAACTTGTGCCTATGCTTCACTTTATGTGCTAGGACCTGAAATGTGACAAAAGAACACAACCTAGCATAAAATAGGACAAAGACGCAATAATTCAAGCCCAAACAATCAAGAAACAAAGGGGAAAACATGTGCAAATACCAAGTCATCAAATCCCCCCACACTTAACTGTTTGCTTGTCCCCAAGCAAACCTAACTCAAACCAATGCAGCTCTCCAGACCTCTATAGCAACAAACAACCTCGATCGTCGGTAGAGGATTTCCTAGATCATATATCAGCTTACGAGGTCAACTGGTCTTCTAAGACGTCCCCTATCTCTCTCAATGCGAGTACTAGACTCAAGCCAAGAACATGAGAAGAAGTAGAAGTAAGACAGTCATTTCATGGACAAAGGGACTCACACCATTCACAACCAAGGACTCGTTGTACCGGGGTGCTCTTTTACTTCATTTCACCGTTGGAACCCCTTTTTGCACTTTCATTTACATTTCTTTTTCTCTTTTTTTCTTCATTCACTTGGTGGGGGTTCCAACTGCAGTCTTTTGCACGGTCGACCCTTATTAGTCGAGCAAGAGCAATTTTTGTACATCTAGCGCTCGCCAGAGTACTTCTTTTAACTCCATTTACTCAACTCGTGTGGAGGTTCAATGAAATCAAAGGGGGTCGGAAGCTCTATCCGTGCCCTTAAAAACACATCCTCAAGTAGGCAAACCGTTCAACGGGTGAAAATTTTACTTGTACTAGAGACAGTTTAGCTTCACCTTGTAGGAGTACCCCACTAAGGATCACTAAAATCTCTTCCAAAACCCGATTTTGTGCAATGAACGGTGCCACACACGTTGGGCTTACCCCATGTTTAAGATTTCAATGATTTCGACATGGAGGACCAACTGCTTCCCATTTTCCATATGAGCACCCTGTTCGATACACGAGTCCATAACACAATCCAAACAGAGTCACCATACCACATGAATTCAACGGTCTTAGCTCCACTACTTCACAAAATCAACTGGCACAACAGAGAGCTAGATAGGAAAAATCTTATACTTCAACATCCTCCATAGTGCTACACTACCTCCCTAGGTTGCACATTACTATAGAGAAGTCGATTCAAAGCATACTGAGCAGGCAATTTGCAAGGAAACACGTATTTGGAGCCCTCAAATTTAAAAATTTGTACAGTGGACTAGGCTCCAAGCACACAAACAGCCAAACATTCACCCACCCGCATACATAATCGAACACCCCCCCACACTTAAGCACGACATTGTCCTGAATGGAGGAAAGATAAGGAGGCTAGAACGAAGTTTCCAGATCAAGGGTGAATGATGATGGACGGGTCAGGCGGTGCATTCCAGGAGTAGAGAGTAATCAGAACACAAACACCACACAAAATCTCACAAAGGTTGAGTTATTGAATAATAAATCAAATAACAAAACTGACTCAATCGAGAAGAAATAGCGAAAGAAATGCAAACCGACTGGTTGGGTTGCCTCCCAACAAGCGCTTCTTTCACGTCGTGAGCCGGACGATGGCTCCTAAGTTTCGGTCCATGCTAGAACCTCCTTGGAGTTGAGGTTCTCGTCAATGAGGTGGAGTCGCAAGTCACGAGCATGTGGTATGACTGGTGATGGAAGCTCATGCACTTGATGCAGATGAAGCCTCCATCCTCGAGACCTCTTCTTCTCTTCTCTTGTCTCATTGCCCCAAACCATATATGACAACATCGATTGACCACCATCGCGTCCACCAAGAGGAACCGATGTCGATGTGGCCTTGGTCTGGCAAAGAGACACTGCAAATGGGTCCTCGCCAAGCAGCTCCTCGAAATTTGGTGGAGATATCACAAGTAACTCATAGCCGGTGCAAGCCTCTTCCATCTCAACTTCGTCCTCAGCCTGGACGCCCATTGCTTCTTCAACCTCCCTTTCTTCTTCATGTGGTATCACCCCTGGGAAATGATCAAGAACTCCTTCTGCTTCACTTTCGGCATCCTCCACAACTTCTTTCTGCACCCTTTCTTGCTCTTCTTCTTCTAGCACAGATTGGAGAGCAAGCTGCCAAGCAATTTCTTTCATGAGATCTTCTTGCATCTCCTCACTCATGCTCGCCTCTTTAAAGCTCAGTTTGGGATGTGGGAAAGTGTGGTCGGCTATGATAGGACATTCCTGATCATGATCATCACGGGAGCTCTCCGTGACAACTTTAGTGTGCTCCACAATGTCCTTGTAGCCTTCTTCTTCCTCCTCCTCTTCTAGTATGGTAGCAGAAGGGTGATTGGGAGCAGGTTGTGCACAAGATCGCTCAAGATCATCGACACTCTTCTTAAGGCTCAGGAGGATCTCCTCTGTTTCACGATAGGCCTGGACACAATGATCCATCCTGGAGCATGTTCTCTCACTGTCTCGAGCAAACTGCTCCATGAGAAGCCTCAATTCATAGTTTGGATCTGGCTGTGGAGTGTAGCATGGCTCTGCAGAATGGCCCGTGAAGGCCGCCATGGGTAACTCAAGCGCCGATGGCCCTTCTGGTTGTGGGAGAAATTCTTCTTGGTAATGAGGTTGTTCTTGATATGCCCAGGGGTCCGGTTGTTCTCCGTAGTAAAGGGGTTGGTACTGGAACCCGAATCCATAGTCTTCTCCTCCTTGATTGCTCCAGGGAGTCTCGGGGTAATACCACTCGGGTGGTGGTGGATACCCCCAATGATTGGAGAAGCCATGAGGGTCCATGATTCAGATCTGCACCAACAAAAACAAAAATACCCAAGTGAAAAGCAGGGGTGGAAAAGAAAAGAAAAACGCTAAAGTAACAAACTTCTGCCTTTCCTAATACTCTAGAAAGTCCCCGGCAACGGCGCCAAAAACTTGACACGCTAAAACACAACACCTAACAATGGCCAAGTGTAACCAATGAAAGGGACTGCAGTATAGTGGCACAAGTAATAAATATCGAATCCACGGGTCTCTAGAGTTACTATTACTCAGCTTAAGTTCATTATCTAGCAAACTAGATTAAGGATTGATTTATAAACTACTCTACTGACTACTCTACTAATTACAAGTTGTGAACTCACTTAGGTATGATTCCCCCTAGCTCCTCAATTAGGTCCAAGTTGCAATTATCTTTGTTTGATCTACTGTTGATTAAACTGCGGAAGATCCGACAGTAGCTTAGAATCTCTTAAGCTGACCAAGCCCTCTCAGTCCAACTACCCGGCAGGCGACTAACCTTCACCAGGATAGAAAGCTGAGGCTATGAACACAGAACTCAACTACCGGAATTGGATTCCAGTACAAAGCAGTAGATTGACTAACTCTCGTATAACCAATTCACCACCATCAATCAAGAAAGCTCTCTTAACCTAATCAGATTCTATCTATCATAGGTTAAAGCAGAAATCAAGAGAATTTGATCAAGATTCAATTGACTCAATAAATCATGCCTCAATAGATTATAATCAAACAATATAGCATCCAAAACTTCATACAAGAAAGATCCTAACACATGGAACTAGGGTTCCTCAAAACCTAAGTGAAGGGAAGTTACTCCATAGAGAAGAGAGAGACTGCAGAAATCTGATCTAGATCTTCAATCTCCATCTCCAAGCTTGATTCCCGAGCTCCAATGACGAAGAAATCCTCCAAAATAGCTCCAAGAATGTTCCCAAGTCGCTCTCTCTCTCTAGGGTTCGTCCCTTGGGTGTTTGGGAACCAAAAACCCAGCTCTCCCCTTTCCTTTGGCTTTAAATCGAGTTTTAAACAGAAATTCCCGATCACGTGGCCAGGCCACACGGCCGTGTGGCTTTCCCAGCTGCCTGTGTGAAGGCTCGGTGATTTCCGCACGGCCACGACGCACACGGCCGTGTGGAGTTCCAGGATTCCCGTGTGGCTTGCTCAGCCTCTGTTTAATGCTTCGTTTCTCCCTCGTCCGGACTCCGAATCAGTCCCCGTTTGACCCCAGACGCTCGTAGTCTCGTCCTCTTTCTTTTCATGACAAGTTTGCATGATTCTTTATCTATAAAGTGAGGTAGAAATCCATTCTTCTTCAGGTCATGCCCGAGTTTCTTCTCCCGAATCGTCAATTGATCTCTGATTGATTTTAAACTTGCGCCTATGCTTCACTTTATGTGCTAGGACCTGAAATGTGACAAAGGAACACAACCTAGCATAAAATAGGACAAAGACGCAATAATTCAAGCCCAAACAATGATGAAACAAAGGGGAAAACATGTGCAAATACCGATTCATCAGTATCTAAGCCCGGTTCTACACAAGGGCAAAGGAAAAGAAGAAATCGGTTGTTTCGATATAGCAGAATTCGAGTTCCAAAACAGGACAACCACTGTTTGTGCTTTGCAGCTGCTGTCTGTACTTGAATTTTGAGGGAAAAATCTATTCTACCCAAAGGAGATGGTGGAGAGCAGTTCCGAGGCCAAACAACCTCGAATTTGTGACAAAGAGAAGTTCCCAGCAGTCGTCATTAAGCATAGAGAACCGACGAGCAGCGCGATCACTTATTTTACAATGGTTGTTTAATCGACGGAAAATTGGTGACGCTCGTAATCAGTGGAGGGAGTTGTACGAACCTCGTTAGTCTAGACATTGTCTAGAAGCTCGGATAGACGATGCAAAGACTCCCGGAGCCTTCAAACCTCTATATCCGGATGAATTTTATGGCGATTTGACGCAGATGGAGGAGAATAGGAACGAGGGAAAGAGCGTTCAAGCTTGGTTATGGGTGCGTAGGCGATTGGGTTTTAGTTTTCTAAGCTTTCGAAAGCTCCAGAAAGTAGTATTAGGGTTGGAACCAACTGCCATACCCGACCCCTGTTTTATGTCGCCAAAACAGAGTGGCGACTTTGGCACTCCTTTCGACGATGAAGGAGCGATGTCGGAGCACGATGTGGCCAACCAATGGTATGTGGAGATGAAGCAATGATGAAAGGTGAAGCAACAACGTCAATGATTCCTGAAGTTTCTCAAATCGAGCCGTCGACGAAGACATCGTCAGGCTGTCCCACATTGACAAAACAAAGCCTGTGCTTGGAAGCAACCGTTGCAGAGTTGAAGGATGATTCGATGAATCCCTCCACTTGGAACGAGTTCAAGGCATTCCCAGGAGTGCATTCCATCACATCCGCTATGCAAGAGAAGATTTAAGGAGATCGAATCTCTCAACTGAAGAGAACTCTTAAGCTCTGCCCCTATTCCACGAAATAGAGTTCCGAAATTGAAGATCTCGTTGTGATATATGGAGATGATTCGGCACATGATTCCTTCATAAACACGTTCAAGGAAGACCCAAGAACGTGTAAGATTCTTGAAATTTAGCCAAAACAAGCCCGAATCAAGAGTCACCAAGTCAGTTGTTTGCCTCAGAAACTGCCGGAAATCGACTCCAAAATTGGGTATCTCGTCGGAATAACTGGGCATGAATCGAGCCGAAAGAATGATGTGGAATTGTTACTGGAGGCGCAAGGAATGTGTAGGATCCATCAATTCGACTCGATGATGCTTGAACAAGAAACGATCGATTTCTAATTGAAGATTCTGGGTAATGAAATTCTACCTTTAGAGCTCAATTCAAGGAGCATGGATTTGATTTGAGTCCAAAGGCTTCCACAACATGAAACTATGTATGTTTGTATACTAAGGGAAGGAATTGGATGAAAGATTGGAGTTCTAGAAGGCCTCGAACGAAAGATGTGAAGTTAATACGAAAGCTGTTTTTGGACAATTTGCAGGTAGCTTTCTTGTTCGTAAAGTAAGGAGTTTGAGTCTGAATTTTGTAACCTTTTTTTAGTACATTTTTACCTTATTTGTTTCCTTGTTCATTTAGGTTTGTATTAGGTTTTCTTGGCTATAAAAGAAACCGTGTGGTTTGTTCAAGTTTGCGAACTTCTTTGGTTTGGTGGATTCCAAACTTGCTGAGTTTGTGTATCGATTGAATAGTCACTTCAACCGTGGTTGAGCACCTACCGTTTTATACCATAGGAGCTTTCCCCAGGTGTGGAATTGTCCGTTGGTTTTGTTTTGTCCAATTTCGTATTAAGAACACGTTGTTCTTGATTCGAGTTCAATCAATCTTCAGATTGATTGTGTTTGCTCCGTAACTTTGATCACATACACCCATACGGTCATATCACAGGGCCAGTTCTAGCACCAGAAACAACCACTCTATTCAGCTAGGCAGACACAAGCTATTGCTCAACCGTAGCAGAGACCGTTTCAACAACTGGGAACTGCTCCTGCAGCCCTAGTACAAAATGATCTGATGGCCGAGTTGCGTGACGTTGTGGCAGGCTTTGCCAATAACAGTATCACTAAGTTTGGAAATATGGAGTGGTTCATAGAGAGGGCTTCCAGGCAGTTCATGCAGCTCGAAGCTTACCAGAGAAATACACAGGCTGTCTTGTAGGACATCCAGTACCAGCTTGGTAGCCTTCACAAAGGCATGTGCCAGAGGCCTCCGGGTACCCTACCGGGAGAGACCGTCCCCAATCCAAACAACCTCGATGCCCAGCTCAATGCCATTACTACGAGGAGTGGCAAGGTCACAACGGAGATCACCATTCCAGCCAGACAGGGGAAAGAGCCACCTGCTTCAGCACTTCCAACCGACGAGAAAACAATGGAGAAGGAGGTTGAGGTGCGTACTCCCACACCACAACCCGTGGTGAAGGAGTATGTTTTTCAACTCCCTTTTCCTACCCGGTTACACAAAGACAGAGTTTGCCAAATTCATGGCAATGCTGAAGCAGGTTAACATCAACATGCCCTTCATGGCGGCAATGTTGGCGATCTTCAACCGAATCGTTAGAGAGATTATAGAAGTTTTCATAGATGACTTCTCAGTTTATGGAGACTCATTCTCTCGTTGTCTCCATAACGTAGAGCCTGGCCTGAAGAAGTGCGTGGAGATGAACTTGGCACTCAGCTGAGAGAAGTGCTACTTCATGGTTCTGAAGGTATTGTGCTCGGGCACAAGAACTCCAAACATGGGATCGAGGTAGATCACGCAAAGATAGAGACAATCAGCAAGCTACCTCCTCATGTTTATGTGTGTCGCAACCGTGCCTCCGGATCGGGGGACCGCCGCAATTTGCTCGGAGTCGCCATCGATCGTAGTTGTGGTGGATTGAACACCGTGTAGTTAGGCTCTAACATTAGGGTCAGAACCGAGATTTGGTCTGTGAAATTTTAGAAAATTGGGTTCGGGAGTACGGTTACATGTGGAGAAGTTTATTCACACCCCACAACGCCCAAAAAATTGGTACTACTTAAATCAATAAGTTTTTAAAAGATTTTGGTGTATTATTATTATTTGACTTTATTTATGTATTTAATTATATGAATTGATTAATTAATTAATTATTTTTATCCAATTTGAACATACGTCTATTGATGTAGTTCTCAAACTTAAGAAAGAGTTTTTGATTAGTTGAACTCAAACCTATTGGTTGCCTACGTACCCGAGTAGTCAGGATCAAAGTCCACGTAGTTCGATTGAAATTGAGTGATTTGAAATGTTAACGCTTACACGTTAAATAGTTGAGAAAATTTGTTGGTCGGAATCGAACCTAGTAGTTGCCTACGTACTCGAGTAGTAGGGATCAATGTCCATGTAGTTCGATAAAAAGAGTGATTTGAAGTGTTAACACTTACACGTTAAATTTTTGAGAAAATTAGTTAGTCGGACTCGAACCTTTTGGTTGCCTACGTACCCGAATAGTCAGGATCAAAGTCCACATAGTTTGATTAAATCGAGAGATTTTAAATATTAAGTCCCACACATGGAAATGCGGAGAAAATTTGTTAGTTGGACTCGAACCCATTGGTTGCCTACTTACCCGAGTAGTTGGGATCAAAGTCCACGTAGTTTGTTTTAAAAGGTTTTGTGAGAAAGAAGGAAACCTAACCCGTTCTATTGATCGTGCTTTGGGCTTGAGATTGAAGTTTTTAAGAAATAATTTTGATATTAAAATAATTATGATTTCGGCTTAAAAGCGACCGGCTAAGTTGGTATGGAAGAACTGCTGCACAGCAGGAAATCCTTCTCTATACAAGTTCTCGGACGAGGTTTTTGAACAGAACTTCGATAGGCGAGAGGTGTAAGCACCGCGAGGTGTGAAGCGATCTCGTACTAAACGAAACTACTTTCACTTTCCATAACCAAAATGTTCAAAAGTAAACCTATTCCTGCAATTGCGGTTAGTCTCGCTACCTCTTTAGTTGCCGCCCCCTACTTGCTCATTCGCAATTACTACCACAAGAAAGTAAGCCCTATCTCTAAGGGGGCGAAGGAGATGTATTTTGGGTACTGGTGGTACTGGACAAGCTCTCAGGGAATAATTTCTTTCTTATTTCTGCTTTTCTTTCCCATGACGACTAGGAACAGGAAAATCAAAAATTTCACTTCGAATTTCGGACCTCAACATCCTGCTGCTCATGGTGTTTCACGATCAGTATTGGAAATGAACGGAGAAGTGGTGGAATGTTTCGAAAAAATAGTTATGATGACATAGTAGGATTAAAAATCTCACGAGTCAAGTACTAGATGTTGCTTGAGTATAGGAGTAGTCGAATTACATTTGAATTAAAGTACCAAGGACGTTTGAATTTACGGAGAAGGAAAGTTAAAGAAATAAATTTAAGAGAAGATTTAGGTTGCAAGAATTAGGGGATTAGCTTAAATGGTTAAACTTGTTAGGTGCAATTTCGAAGGGATTGCTTTTGTTTCGTTTTCAGTAAAAGGAAGGTGGCAGGGACAAACATATTTCAGAGAAGTTCAGGGGTATTTTGGAAATTTTGGGAGGAGTATTTAAGCATAAGGATGGAGATTAGCCTGCCCTCGCCGCATTTGCCTAATATGCAATCTCTTGCTCCCTCTCCTCTCTCTCTCTCTCTCTCTCTCTCTCTCGTACTCTAGCGAGCAAAACGAAGAAAGAAAAGGAACCTTCTTCGATCTGCCTCTTTTCACTCTGATCCTCTCATGTCGATCTACCATTCTCCCTCTCTTACTTGATCTCGTTCCTCCTCCTCTCTTTCCAAAGACAATGAGAGAAGAAAAAGGGAATAACCACGATGATGAGGGAAACGAAAGGCTGTTGACGCCAGCGCTGATAATGATGGTGATGAAGGTATTCAAAGATAGCATTTTCATGATTGCATGTCGGGTTTAGAGTTCTTCTTTTGATTTTGGTGTTGTTGTAGATTTTGATCATTTCTTATTTTTTATTTCTGGGTTTTGGTGGAAGTTTCGGGCGAAAAGAGGAAAGATGGAAGTCGCCGGTGGTGGAAATGAAGCAACTCCGACCAGCGACGAGAAGGATCGGCTTCTGACAGGAGGTTTAAGGTGGGTTTTTCTCATTTGATATTGATTCGGTTTTCTTTGGTTTTTTGTGTTTTGATTTTTGGGTTTTTAGACGAAAAGAAAACAGGGAGCCGGTGCTGGCAGGATGGAGTTTCACCATGGCGGTGACTACGAGGACAGGAAATAATCTTTTTTTGGTAGGATTTCTATGCGTTTTTTTTCCTTTCTTCATTTGGTGTACTTTTTCATCTTAATGTCTTGCGATGCTAACTCTGTTTCTCCTTTATGTATGTTTCAAACAAAGTGCTTTAGGTGATATTCTACTTTAATCTATCTCCTTTTTATTAAGTTAGATGGTTTAATTAGTTTAGGAAGTCTATTGATTTTTATGGGTCTCAAAACTAATTTATAAAACCTTTCCTTAGGAAATCTATGGTTGCCTATGTGTGCTTAATGATTCACGAGCTTCTAGGGTGTTTAGTGGACTTGATTTGTGGCAAGTTGATGGCTTTATATTCTTGAGATTGGGTGTTCATGGTGGGTGCAATTCTGGACATTCTTGGGTGAACTGGACATGAACTTTTGAACTTGACTTTTAAAGTTTATTTGATGAGGTTTTCTTAAATCTTTGTGGCGTCTATGATGTGTTTGAACATGGGTTCGAGTAATGAAATTAGTAGGTTATGGTTTATATTTTGTTTGAAAAGGGGTTTTCTAGATGTAGGGGAGGAGCTTGAAACAAATATGGTGTTTAAATAAAACCTTCATTAGTTGGGTCTAACATGTGGATTTAGTTATGGGGTTTGATAATTTATATGAACTCAAACGAAGAGAAAGGGTAGAAAGTAGAGAATGAATGTGAATGATGATCATGATGATAAGGAGGTAAACTAACCTTATTGCTTGACGTTTATGGATGATCCCGCCTCGTCTGAGGTTTGTGGTTGACCCTGCTTCCTCTGCTATCTTCTGTGAGCTTACTGCCGCCTTGCTTCCTTCCTTCTTTTAGCTTCTTTGATGTCATTTTCCCTGATATTGTGGCTCTGGTTTTGGCCGAGAAGAAGGATATATGGAATGGTCAGAGTTTTTGCACCTTCTTCTTTTTTTGTCCATTCACTGAATGTGTTTGTGGGAAAGGGAGCATGGAGTTTTTTTTTTTTTTTTGCTTTTTGTTTGTGGTTTGTTGTCTGTATGTGTATAAGAAGAAGAAAAAGAAGGAGAAGCAGCAACAGCAGGAAAGGAAGTCTCAAGAAGAAAGAAGTCGCGATTTTTTAGAAGGAGGGGAAGCAAAGTGCCGTCCAGAAGAGGAAGAAGGAAGCCCCGAGTTCCCTTCTCTACAGCTCAAGCCCTTCTTTTATAGAGAGATTGCTACAGTGGTTACACTATTTGGATTTGGGTGGAGGCTTGTGATTGGTTGTGAGGTTAGTAGGCTCCTAGGTAGGGGATACTGTAGTAAACAGTAACGGGTATGGGTTTGGGTCAGACCAAGTTTGGTCAACTGGTCAGACCGGATGTTGACTTTCTGGGCTTGGACTTTGACTATTGTTGGTTGATGTGGGCTTGTTCTGAGTTTTTACTTGGGCTTGGGGTTTGGCCTAGACCTTTTCAAGATGTAATGTATAATTATAATGAAATTTGTTTATTAAGTCTAATAAAAGTTACCATTCTTTTATTGGTTTTTCTTTATAGCATGAGGCCCAACCTCACAAATCCCGTGGCTTAAGATTCAATCCAATCATGGATTTTATCAACCAATTTGAGTCAATGCCGAATTTGTAAGACGAAGTCTCATCGCGATCAAGAGTGGCTATTGCAAACCTTAAACAAAAATTAAATTTTATTTAGTTAGATAGGTTTTAACCCGGAAAAAAATGGTGTCTACAGTTTCCCCTTTTGTATATCTTCTGGTATTTAAGGGGTATACAAAGTTCTTTTAAGATGCCACATTTTTACAATGTAGGGATAAATCGATTGTTTGCTAATGTGATATAGTCAACATGTCTGTAATAGTCGACAAAACAAAGTTGAATATGAGAATGTTAGTGAGCAAAATGAAGGTGAATATTTGGGTGATGACATTATTAAGTCGTCTATGATAGTTGACAGACAAGCTTAGTGTGAAGGTTTCAATTTTCTCGTTATAGTTGACGAAACAAATTGACTAGAAGGTTCCTAAATTTCATGTGATAGTCGACGTAACAATTTTATTACGTGATAGTCGACGTAAAAATTTTAGTAGGTAGTTTTTAACTTGCTCGTGATAGTCGACGAAACAAAATTACTAGGTAATTTCTAAATTGCCTATGATAGTGTACAAAATAAGTTTAGCCGGAGGGTCTAATTTGCTTGTGATAGTCGACGAAACAAATTGACTAGGTTTTCTAAATTGTCCGTGATATTCGACGGAGCAAGTTTAGCAAGTGGGTGTAATTTACTCGTGATAGTTGATGAAGCAAATTGACTAGGTTTCCTAAATTGTCCGTGATAGTCGACGGAACAAACTTAGTAGGAGGATTTTAATTTGCTCGTGATAGTCGACGAAACAAATTTACTAGGTAATTTCTAAATTGCCCGTGATAGTCGACAGAACAAGTATAGTACGAAGGTTTTAATTTGCTCGTGATAGTTGACGAAACAAAATTTTCTAGGTAGGTTCTAGGTTGCCCGTGATAGTCGACGCAACAAGTCTAATACAAAGGTTTTAATTTGCTCGTGATAGTCGACGAAACAAATTCTTTAGGTAATTTCTAGGTTGCCAGTTATAGTCGACGGAACAAGACTAGTACGAAGGTCTTAATTTGTCCGTGATATTCGACGAAACAAATTCTTTAGGTAAGTTCTTGGTTGCCCGTGATAGTTGATGGAACAGTCTAGTACGAAGGTCTTAATTTGCTCGTGATAGTCAATGAAATATCAAAGTGTTGTTTTGTAAATGATTATGATGGATGGTTATGTCATGTGATAAGTACCAGGATGCTTTAGAAAGTGACCACATAGCGGGTGACGAATCATGAAGAACCTAAATGCATGATGTAGTAGAACAAATTTGGAAAGTGGTCATATGATATGCCATGTTAAATGATGATTTTGTGAATTTTATGCAAAATAGAGGATATGATGTTTGGTAATTGGTGTGAAATTATGTTTTTTGCGATGGATTTCTTTAAATTGATCACCCACAAGAACTGTACCATTTCTTTTGATCGACGCGTTCCTTATCATGTTGGAGTACTCTAGTGTCACCATGGGTACATTCTTCCTTTTGTGTGTCATCATTTCGCGGTACTGGGCTTGCCATCTATCATTTCCTCTTTCTCTGATCAGAGTGCCCAAGGTACTTCGTTTCAGAAGACTGATGAAAGGTTGCCCCTATGCTTTCTCCACCTTGGACACTGGTGTTTTAGTGGTCGTTGTCTTAGCCATATTATCTTCCTATTCATGGGATGTGCTTGGTAGGTAGGGCTGGCTATTTGGTCTGGACTGTTTCGTTTTACCCGAAACCGGACCGTATAACCCCGGACCGGGATCAGACTGGGACCGGATAGCAAACAATCCAATCTCATATTTGGGCTTAGATTTGAGGTACAAAGCCATTTGGGACCGGATCAAAAACCATATTAAGACCGGATAAGAGACCCCAACACCCAAAACCAACTCCTCACCCTTTGAGCCTCAGGCCACTCAAATCCCCACAAGCTCAATCTAAAATCAAGACCAAATTGGGACCGGAACGGGTCAAGACCGGACCGGATCCAGAAAGCATCCCATAGAGATTCTTATACAACCTCTCTAAGTCTTGCAAAAAGAAATAACCATCAATGTCGGACTGTATCCAATCCATTCTTTAGTCCTTATATTCCTGAAAAGACCGGACTGGGACCGGATCAATTCGGGCCAATTTAACCGGACTAGACCGTATAGCCACCCCTATTGGTAGGTTGATTTTACAGGAGCATTTTGTAGCCTGGTGGTCTCGAGATAATGTGCTCCTTTAGTATTATTGATCTTCTTGCTATGTAAGCATGTTGTGGTTAGTTAAGAGGAATTTTTCATTTTGGGGTATTGTCTTGTTGAGATCGGTTTTCTAGACTTTCTCGTTGCCCAAACTAAGGTCTCACACGACTAGTATTGAGTCGTGCACTTCATTTGGTAGTCATGGTACATCGAGTGTGTTCTACTAGTCAAGTCTCTCAAGGATGGCTTGACTGATTGGTTGGGTAGCTTGAATCAAAATTATTCAAGATCTCTAACATTTGAAGAGTTGGGAGAGCCACTTTCTTTTCTATTTCTGGGTGGCACCATTTTGCCCCTGAGAATACGTCATTCCCCTTCGCTTCTTCGGAACAAAGTGTGACTTTTACCAATTTTGACTTAAGATGAATGCAAACAATGTTAAAAAAACCTCGTTTGAGAAAGCATATGGGAACTTGATTTTAGAAATCAAAGACTTGCTTTAGAGAAGTGTGTGCAATATGAATAAAATGGTTTATTGTGTGGTTAATTCCACATTTTTCAAAATTTGTTTTGCATAAGTCAAGCCATGAGAATAACCATAAGCCCTCACCCTCACTCTCAATTTCGCCCTCACTCATTCCTATGGGTGCTTTGAGTTTATGACATTTTAGCTACTATTAAGATTCTCCCAATCATGTTGAGGGGGAAAATGTGCTCGGGGTATAGACTGATATGAGGAGACTCTCATCCTTATTCGTGTAAAGTTTCCTGATGAGATATTATAGCGTGCCCCCAAAGTATTAGAATGATTGATGGATAAGCGAGATCATCTTTTCTCATCGCAAAAATTTTCCCGTTGAGGAATTTTTTGTTTGCCCCCAAAGTATGTGGATGGTGGATGGATAGAAGAGATCATTGTTGAGAACGTCATGTTTTCCTTGGAAATGGTGGTTCATTTTGGGTATCTTTATGGATATATATATTTGGCTCATGATGTCTCATTGTCTTGAAATTTGGTTCAAAGGGCAAGGCCGAGTAGTGAATAACTACGACCATTTGAGTGGAAACCTGATTGTGATTTTCCTTTGCCAAAATCCTTATTTGATATTGAAAGGATGGGTAGAGGAGGTCTTGGGATGATGTAGGCTTTGACATGTCATTATCTTTCAAAATGATGAATGTTGAAGACAGTTGTGTGACATGCATGCTTGCTAAAATCTTCTTATCCTGGGGTTTCTTCCTTGACGTGAAAGTGTTCGTTCAAGTGATGGATAATGAGGATGCACTTTAACGTATGCTGACATTATTGCTTGTTTATCCTTCTCATCTGTTTCTCTTAGTTTATTTCTTCAGACTTGGCAGGCAAACATCCTTTGGTTTGGAAAGCTGATACAATTGATGGTTAGCCCCACTTGAGTGTATAGATTTTGCAGATTGAGATGACGACCCTATATCGAGCTCTTGTGATCCCATTGACGGTGAACTCAAAATCATCTTTTTGGCCTTTTGGCAAAGCTAGGTAGTGACTCGTGATGAGCTTGGGTTGCTTTAACTATTGTGCTCATGTAGGGGCATCTAATATGCAAGTCCCACAATCTTTCTTTTTCTTTTTTCGTTTTCTTTGTTTTGACTTTCCTTGCCATTTTGCATTTTTTATTTTTTATTTTTGTGGGACTTAACGTTGTTATGCCCCATTCATTCTGTCATTTTGACTTGAGCATCAAAACATTAGAAATTTGTCGACGTGAGTGATTTTCTTGTCGTATGGGCTAACTGGCTGTCCCTTTCTTGAGGAAGTAAAGCTCATGACGTCAAGTTGAATGCCTCCACTCGGGTTAGATTTAGGCATGTAAACATTGGATGGTAATGAGACATTTTTCACTTTAGCATCAACAGATGATGTGGATTGTATGTGTGCCCCGATGAGGGTTTCGTCAGAACTTGGCTATTATAATGTCTGCATCAAGCTTCTTGTACGCCATAATTTGAAATACACTACATATATCGATTATGGGCAGTGACAAGATTCTACAAGTAGCCTAGTGTCATATCCTCGTTGCACCATTTGACTATTTAGCTCACATAATTTGTGGACACCAGTGGGGTGTTTTTCTCTTAGCTCTAGCGACGTGTGCATATTCTCAACATAAATGGGTGGCTCAAATTATGGACTTTATGGTGTTTATAAACAATCAGCACCATTGGGGTGCTTATGGTTGCTTAGTATGAAAATCTCATGGCTTAACTTGAAGACACGAAATACATTTTGTGGTTCTCCTGTTCAGATAAGAAATTTTGATTTTAAAGATTTGAAAGAGATAATCATCATTTTGTAGAGAGAAAGATCATTGATGCCAACTGCTAGATAAAGATTGATAATAGTCACATAATGTTCCAAGTAGTGGAAATTTGAATGATTTTTTATTGTTCAATAGTGAATGTAAAGGACGATACGTGTTGATGTGGTAAAGTATCTTGACATTTATTTGTTTAGTATGATCTATGAATGAAGCTTTGGCTTGTGGTATGTCTACTGGCTACGATGATTGGGTAATTGGTTGTGGAGGATGTCGAGCCAACTTGGTTCTACTTCAATTGACAAAATCTTCATGAACATGCCATTCTGATCCTTCATATCTTTAAGCATCTTCAACCTTCTATTGGTGTCATCAAATTCCTCCTGGAATGACTCT